TTAAATCGTGTACATGTAACATAGTTTTTTTTTATATTTAATCTTAAGTCAAGTTCTGACAATATATTAGGGATGCTGAACTGGATAGTAAATTGAAGGGGGGGGGGGAAATAAATGATGTAGTTCATAGTAATACTGTAGTAATATAATTAATAACATTAATAATAATAACAATATTACAAAGAGTAACAATAATGACAATGGTCATGATAATAGCAGTAATAATAATGATAATACAGGTAGTAGTACAAACAGCAATAATGTCCAATGTAAGATAAAGTACTCATAAAACTCAGTATATACCTGTGCTTTACATAATAAAGTAGCATGTTGATATTATTGAATTTTTTTTCCTCAAAATCTACAGTAAACTTTTACAACTGAAAAATTTGAATTCAAGAGACAGCACCCCCCCCCCCCCCTCCCCCATCCTTTTGTCATCCTTTTGTTGATGTCATGTTGGATTTAAAAAGATCTTTATAAAAACAAAATATGTTGATACATGAGTTCATAAATATTAATAAATTAGTTAATACTGCTTAATTCTGTTCTTTTCATTTTCTTATTTTGTGAAAAATATTTGATGATGCTGGTGATTATGATGATGTAGGCACTCTGTAATGATAATGCTCTATGACTGAGGTGAGATGGGGGCTGATGCAGTCTTGTGTAGAATTGAGTATGGTGTTCGACCTTTTGATGTTTGTTTATATCTGGCATCCAGTGGCGGATCCAGGGGGGGGGGGGCCCCGGGGGCCCGGGCCCCCCCCCCCCCTTGAGAAAAAAATCATGTAAAATCATGTGATTTTTACGATTTTGGGGGTTGTGGCCCCCCCCCTGGCGCTCAAGGGGGGGGGTGCAAATTGAATTTTTTTTTGAGGATCAAAAAAAAAATGTGCTCACTACCCCCCCCCCCCCCCCCCCCCCCCCCCCCCCCCACTGAGCGAATTTTTTGGCCGGCGCGTTTTTCAAATTTTCGGGAGCAAAAAAAAAAAAAAAAAAAAAAAAAAAAAATTGTGCTCTGTACCCCCCCCCCCCCCCCCACTGAGCGACTTTTCGGCCGGCGCGATTTTCAAATTTTCGGAGCAAAAAAAAAAAAAAGTTGGGCCCCCTCCCCTAAGAAATCCTGGATCCGCACCTGCTGGCATCAGCGAGATAGATTTAACCATCTTTCCTAATGAGAGAGAAAGCGGAAATGTAACAAGAGAGTGGGCAAGACTAATGTATAAATACAGTACAAAAAATGGTTTACAATAAAGATGAGGGGGGGGGGGGGTTAAATAAAGAATAAGTCAATGCCAAAATGATGAAAGCATAGGTAATTGGGGTGTGGATGGGGGAGGGAGGGTAATAGAGCCTATGGAAATGTCAATATTGGAAGGGGTCCCTGTATTGAAAATGTTACTGATGGGGGGGGGGGGGCAAATTTTTAAAAAATCAGTGGCGACGAATGCAAGAATGAAAAGAACGAGACAAAATAGAAATTTCATTGGGGATGGGGCACAATATGAAGATCATTGAAGTCGAGGTGAGAATGATTCATCATTTGGACACTAAAAATATGAATATATGACTAGTTGAGTGGGCTAAATGATTATTGCAATTTTTCTGATTAAAAAAATATTTAAGTTAATAAACGAACAAAACAAAAAGAGGTAAAAAATGAATTGAGGTACCACAGTGAAATGGGGTCATTATTTTTGCCTTTTAACTGAACTGAATTTTAAAAATGTACTTTCCATCCTGGTGACAGTGAAGTTTGTGGCCCCAACTAAGTCAACCATTTGAAGTTTATTTACCCCCCCCCCCCCCCCCCCCCCCCCCCCCCCAACACACACAGCTCCCCAACTCTGACCTTTGTTCTACATTTATCGGCCCAATTAAGGATTCTGTCGATATAGTAACGCATGCGCATTGTCTTTTTTTATTGCGATAATATGCTTATAAGTGGAAAAGAGCTCATGAATATTCCAAATTTTAATTTAAATATTTTGCGCGCTGCGCGCAGTCCAAAATCCCCATTTCGCTGGTGCACTAAAAATTTGTCGTCTTCATAGGCTAATACACGATAAGTGGAAGCAGTGTGCACTTTTGACCCTCCAAAATTTCCCCATGGCTAGACGGATGCAGAAGCGGAGTTGAACCCCCCTGTTTTTTATTCAAATTATCGAATAATTTTGTGGTGATACACAAATATTAGAAGTCGTAATACTTATGGATATTTCAGCCGTCTCTGAACCGATTTTGATCAAACAAAGATGATTTTGTCATTTAAATTGTATGTTTTTTTCAAATTTGACACGCAGTTTTTCATTATCTCACAAAAAAATATTTTGTGTAGCGCCTTCTGCAACAGAACTCAACTATCTCTTTAATAAAGAGCCCATCTATACGTCATAGCGAATACAAAGTGGGTAAAATATGAACATGATAATAATAATTGCTTATATAGCGCTTCACACTTACTTTATCAGAAGTCTCTAAACGCTCTACAATAATGCAGCATAATTACCCTGGCTTTAGCAGTGCAGCTGTTACGCGCGATGCGTTTTCAAGGAATAAATCCCTACCAGGTACCCATTTACATCACCTGGGTGGAGTGTTGCAAATGTAGATCAATGTCATTAGTACAGCGGCGGGACTCGAACTGCGGACCTTGTGGTCGAAAGTCCGGCTACGTATCCACTAGGCCACGACACCTCTACTACATGCACACGTTTGATTCAGTCAATCTGGAGAAAAGACTGTAATATGTTTATCCTAGTAGTATAATTGATGTATTTTTATACACAATATCTTCTATTCTACTTGAATTTAGCAACAATGCATCAAGTAAAATATCAAGTTTATTTGTAAACCATTGATATATCTTCTTGTTAACAGTATAAATATATTAATATCAAAATCAGTTTCTAGACTAATGCTCCAATTCCATTAGGTTCATTCATTTACTCTTCCTTTGTTTCTGAAAAAAGTCAAACATGACGTTTGTTTATTCATCTTTATTCAAGAAACAACATATAACATAGTAATAAAGATGTTACATAAAACCCAGGACCGAAATTTGAATAGCATTGAATGCATCGCATGCAGGGTTAAATAATTACAATACACAATAACAAAACGGAACAGAGAACATCATAACTTTAGTTTTTTAATTAAAAACATTAATAATTTCTAACAAAAAAAACAAATACAAAAATTATTATTTTCTTAGTTAGGAATACCTCACTATACATTTATATACCGTGGTCATATCTATCAATCTCTTCTTAATGAGTGATCAACCACGGGAACCTATCTCCATAGAGAGAGAGAGGGGGGGGGGGGAGAGAGAGAGAGAGAGAGAGCGAGAGAGAGCGAAATAGAGAGAGAGAGAGAGAGAGAGCGAGAGAGCGAGAGAGGTCCCGTTATAACAAGTTATATACGTCTCCTAATTTAAAGTAATTACGCCTCCCACGTGCTGATTCCAAGTTTTTCTTATTCTTTTGAAACATTACTCTTCCCAATTACATATACCTCACCTTACATTTAGGTACCGTCATCATTATCTATCAATCTATTCTTAGTAGCATGCGTAATCACACCACGAGAACCTATCACCATAGAGAGAGGGGGAGATAGATAGAGAGTGGGGAAGAGATAGAGAGAGAAAGAAAGAGAGAGAAAGAAAGAGAAAGAGAGAGAGACAGAGAGAGAGAGAGAGAGAGAGAAGGGATGAGAGAGAGAGAGAGAGGTCTCGCTATTGTAAGTCATACAAAATTGTTAAACCAATTACATTCCCAAGTAATGTTGTGATTGCCAGGTGCGCTACGGCTGTACAAAATAATATACGATCCAAACAGTACGGTTTTCAGTTGTGGATACCTTACTTTGCATTTACATGTTTTTTCAACATATCTATAAGTCTTTTCTTGTTATTGGGAGTTATCAGACCTCGGGAACCTATCTCTATACACAGTAGTTTGGGAGTCCAGCCGGCTTCTGAGATATCATGTATTAGTCCGGCCAGGCGCGTACGCAGGGGTGGGGGGGGGGGGGGGGGGGAGGGGGGGGGGTTGAGGTTTTTGCTATTACAAGAGGTGAGTGTTTTGGAGAGTAGTCATGTAATCATGTTATCCTATTTTACAATCCACTTTTATCAGAAATTATATACTACTTCTACTTCTACTGATATTACTGCTACTATTACCTACTACTACTACTACTACTACTACTACTACTACTACTACTACTTCTACTACTACTACTACTACTACTACTACTACTACTACTACTACTACTATTACTTCTACTACTACTACTACTACTACTACTACTACTACTACTACTACTACTACTACTACTACTACTTCTACTACTACTACTACTACTACTTCTATTACTGCTACTGCTGCTACTACTACTACTACTACTACTACTACTACTACTACTACTACTACTGTTACTATTACTTCTATTTCCATAACTCATTGTCGATATTATATATGTTCAAATGCGCTCTACAATCATATAATGTTCAGAAAAATTGAGTTTTGAAATGCTTTCTGAAGGCATCAAGATATTGTTGGTTGGGGAGAATTCGAGGTACATGTTCATATCCTTGGCACAGAAAACACTTCAAACAAAATAATAATAAATACTAATAATAATGGCTTCTTATATAGCGCACATGTCCGTCACGTTGTGACGCTCCTGGCGCTGCCCCGATTATTACCCTGGCTTTAGCAAGGCAGCCACATGTAGCAAACGTTCTGAAAATTGTGTGACATTACTACGACTTCTAGAGCACAACAATCACGGCATTCAATTCACATATTTTAGTATAAAAGATTTATTCAATAATTTGATTTACGGCTCCTTCGTGCCTAGTGAAAAGGGGAATTGTAATGCCACGCTATTATGATCATCAGAGGTGAGTTTGTATCTACTTCCGTATCAGGGTTAACTCGCTACTTGTTATGCACTATTACACCTGACTCGTTCAGGAGGAAGCGAAATTCATTTTCTCTCCATATAAAAATCAACTGTTATCAAGATCCGTATTATTTTAGGAAGAATATTTGCTGCCGTTTCTTCGGAAAACAATCATCGAGAAAGCCTAACCAGGTATAAATAGCAGCATCTCTCAAACCAAAAGGTAGGTTCAATTTCTTTAGATTATTACATGTTAACAATGACTTGATGCTTTTAACGATCTCTACAAGTTAATCTAACATTGGTGCTTACAGTATTATTATTATTAGCCCGATACCTGAATGCAACTATTACAATCATACTTCTCATCACAGCGTACACTCTCCACTCCGCTGTGTAGGGGGAGCATATATTTCAGCATGTCGTCATTTTCCTTGTACCCACATGCTTATCCAATCATGTTGACTTCTGTATCCTATCGGGTACCTATTTAACTCATGGGTGGAGAGGACCAATGTAGATAAAATGCCTTGATCAGAGACATAAGTGCCATGCCGGGGTTCGAACCCACGACCTTTGTATTTCCAGTGAAGTGATTATAAATCCACTCAGAAACGATCCCCATGACAAGATTCAAAATTAATACTTGACTATACAGATTGACACAACCTGTTCAAAATATGATTGAACTTTCATGCAAATGTGGTTAATTATCATGATCATGGTTTTATGAGAGAATGTTGGCGTATCTTGGTAAAAATCGGTTTCGGACAACCCCTCCCCCTATTAAATGGGAACTTTTTCTGATTGCTTCCATTAAAAGGACAAACCTCGATCGGTTCAGATCATTGTACCAAATGATAGATCTGTCCTTAGAGAAGGTCTGCACATAGGGGTGTTATGGTCTAGTGGGCTGTCCCCGCACTGCGAAGTACAGTGTATAGGGTTTTAACGCTGTATTATACAATGATTTTACCTTATTTATCGTATTGCAATATTGTGGGGCACAGTGCAATGTATCTTAGAAGTAGCATTGAAGTACTCCAGAAACGTGCAATAGGAGTAATCCACAATATTCACAACCCCTTATCATTATAATTATTATTATCGTTACTATTTTTTATTAAAATCAATTTAAATACTATTATTACTACTTTTTGTATTATCATTATTTTTGTTATTATTGATATTATTATTGTTTTAATATAATTATTATTATTATCATTATTATCATCATAATTGTATTACATTATACGTAATGCAATATAATAATCTCACGTTTCATTTCCTTGTATTTTACAGCGAAAAGTATTGAGGTTGAATCGTTTTGTTGTCAAGTAATTCCCGCACAATGCAATTGATATAAGCAAGATGTATTTCTTGTATACATGTGAGTACAAAATACTCACCTGTTACAAGCTGCATGCTATACATGTAGGTTGATTTCGGATCAAATGTAATACCTCCATGGAGAGGAAAAGCTAAATCAGCTAAGAATCGTAGCGTTGTCAGACCAGTAATACAATTGTCTACGATTTGAGGCCGATTCGACTTTTATTCTCGTTAGAAGAGTGAAATGCACTCAAATTTCTGTTTGTTAATATTATGATCATTATTTAGAACCTAAATCAGGATGATAGTGGTTGCATAGAATTCCATGTCTAATATAACCGCCCTTAATAGAAATTGTTTTCTTGATTATTCTACAGAGGGGCCACCATGGATACCTGGCGGGTTGCTGCAGTGCTTTTAATCACCTCGTTTTCTTGGTCGCTTGTTGCGGCAACTTCCACTATTTTGATGCCTACAACTGGTATGGCATCTACCAATAATACAACGCCAGACGCAACAGCAGCAACAAACGCTACCACTGATGGGATTAATACCACAGCTACCCAAATTATGGAAACATCGCCTCCTACAACTGCAACCATAGCGAATAGTTCCACATCAAATGATACAACAAATGCAACAACACCTACCACAGTTGGCACTAATGCTACGGAGACGGAGAGTTCCACATCAAATGATACAACAAATGCAACAACTCCTACCACAGTTACCACTAATGCTACGGAGACGGAGAGTTCCACATCAAATGATACAACAGGTGTAACAACTCCTACCACAGTTACCACTAATGCCACGGAAATGAATAGTACAACAGATGCAGCAACCCCGACCACACTGGCAATATATACAAACGCAACAACAATGTTTTCGTCATCATTAGGTAATGTATCACATTGTCTTTCTCATCATTCTTAACCAAATACTTTGCTTTCAGTATTATGCATTATCAAAACATTAAATACCGATGAGGAAAATTTACAAAAAGTTGTAGCTGTAATAGCATTTAGAGACATGGTTTTTCGGAATATCATCATAATCATTATTATCATTATTATTACTAAAAGCAGAGAAGGTGTCAATTGGTAATGGAAATGGAGAGGGAGAGGGAGAGAGAGAGAGATAGAGAGAGAGAGAGAGAGAGAGAGAGAGAGAGAGAGAGAGAGAGATGGGTGGGTGGGTGGGATAACGGTAGGGTGGGATAACGGTAGGGGAGGGGTGGGAGAAAGGGAGGGGAGGGGGTGGGAGAAAGGGAGGGATGGACTTTGAGGGATATCTATTTAGAGAGAGATATATAAAGAGATAGATAGATAGAGAGTTAAAGAGAGAGAGGTTGAGAGACAGAGAAAGAGAGACAGAGATGGAGAAAGAGAGAGAAATAGATGGAAAAGGGAGGGGGAGGTAACAAGGGAGGATTCTCTTGTCTAAACGCAGCAAAGTTTTCTGTATAAAAGTTGACTCTCTGCTTGGCATAAAATTGTTTCCGCAATATATTTCAATATTTCACTTCGATCAGAAACGATGAACTTTTTGTTCTGTTTTTCTCTTCTGAGAATGAGGAAGAGTGGCTTAAAATGTCATGAATTACAAATAGAACGTACAAACAAAGCATTGCATACACACGTCCAGGAAGTTTAAGTCCATTAAAGTAAATGTCTTAAGGAACAATAATAAGGAAATTGTGATATCATGGATTTAATGTCGATATATTTGTTTATTTTCTCTAAAATTGATTAATTTATTGTTTATTTTATTGATAATTATTGACTACTTAATTAATTTACTTATCTGTTTATTTATCTTTATAATTGCAATACTGATATTTCCTTGAACGTCGAAGTGACAATGAGGTGATGTTTCTGCATCTTATCAGAGGAAAGTAATGAAACCAAACTACATTGCTTTCTGACGGAGCCCTCCATAATATCCTCGTGGTTTTGTAGTGCCTATCAATATTTGTATACGCGTTTCTATGGTCTATGTAAATCATACGAAACCTGTAATTTTGCCATAATGTTCGACTACTAGACCTTGAAAAACACGAGACATGTCATTCAAAGAATGTTTGCTTGATCGTATTGTATCAAAGGGAAGTTCAATTGACAATACGCGATCACCAAACTGGAACGAACTACACGTTACAGGGATTTTCCCACCGGCGAAGTCATTTCGACGTGCTTCAATGGCGCCAGGGGTGGTGGAGTGTCTTTAAAAGTAGGGGTGCACCAACATAAAGGGTACTTCTTGGGGGGAAGGGCACCTACAAAGGGTAACTTTAAAGCCAGAACAAAACCCAAACTGTTTAGACAATGGTATATACCCTTACATTGTATTAGGAATGATCTTCAACTTTTTTCGGTTACGTGATCCAAGATACTGCTTTAGCACCATGCTTTGTAGTTGTACGTGATTGTCTTAAAGGGATCCGGTAACTTTGTCTCAGATTCTGAAACAAAATTCTGGATTTAGCTCATGATGCAATGATAATTATAAACCTTTAGGTCAGTCAGGAACCCCATGACTTTTACAAGCCGATCGCCTGTCTGATTATCAATATATTCATGATTGGAATTACAAATTTTGAAAACCGTTCGCCTGACGGTTTTCATAACACTACAGTCTATTGGGGAAAACGAGTATGGTAAAACCGGTCACTCAAAGATTTTTACTTTTGTGAGGCACTTCTTGATCATTTTGAAGCGCAATTTTTTTAGGGCTTCAATATTACACCATATCACAGACACAGATAACACGTAGGGCCGTGTATCTCAGATTTAACATTGTTACACGATCCCTTTAAGGTCAATTTGCGAGCGAGCGAAGCGATTGATCACAAAATTGAAGATGTCCAAGGTTGCTTTGAGACCGATGCGGTCTCATCATTTCGATCAAATCACCAATCCTAATGGGGCTTTAAGCACAGTCTTATAATGAAATAATGAATGAGACCCCCCTTTTTTAATTAATGAGATAGGCCGACGATAATTACGTGCAAGCGTAGATATATCAAAAACACGAATAAACAGCCACACTGCCCAAATATCAGGTGACAGCTAACGAAATAGTGACAGTTCATAATTTTCCCTACTCTGGGCGGCCGGTTGAGGGCCCAGCCCCGTGCCTCATAAGCCACTGCTCAAGAAGTGCAAATATGTATGTTTACGGATTCAGAATGTGCAAGGGAAATTTTGGAGAAATTCGAGAAAAGTGGGTGGGGGGGGGAACTCTATAATTTTGTATATTTATACAAAAAAGGCACCTTTTGTACAAACTTTTGAGAACAAAAAACAAGTCTGAAAAGAGGAACAGCAATGACATTTAACCGAGCCGTAATTCATTGTTAGTGCCCTATAAATATTCCAAAAAGGAACCGCAGTTTATCATAAAACAATCTAGTGCTTTTTCCCCTCTTCATGCTTGTTAGGGATTTTCCTCAAGGACCGAACTAGCGCGCTACTGTAAATAGCCTTTACAAACAAAAAGGGGAACAAGCTTTTTGTAAAGATTTTTGAAAAGAAGTGTCATGTGGAAAAATTGCATTTGAGTCTGGGGTTTGAAATGCAGACTTAATGTGCTATAAATATTTCAAAAGAAACCAGTCATGTTGAGGATACTGTGTTGCTCTCAAGATAGCACGATCTCAAAATGATAAACTGAAATGATGAACATATGCGTTGGGCACGTAAGTTATTGGGTGAAGGGTAAAAAATATAATTAAGAGGCAAGGAAAATTAATTGTGCTTGAAGCCGAAGTCACACATGTACATCGACCTTCTTTAAACATTTTATATAAATTACCTCGAGATATTTTTCTTATACAATGTGCTCAAATTTTATCCAACTTCTTCTGTATTACTTTTCTCTTGGAGTTGGAGATATTATTGAAAAGACGAACCATGATTTTCGACACACAGACATCAAAACTTTTAAGTATTTTGAAGACAAAACGCCTGCTAAGTAAAATATTCCAGACGCTAGAAACAGTGAAAACTATTAAAAGAGTATCATGGCTTGATTGTAAATAACGTCTGCCTTTGAATAAAAAAGTTAATAAAAATAACATACTCTAACAAATTACCTTTGACCTTTTCTGCTACATGTACGTTGCAGATTTACACAGTTATTCGCGTTTGTAAGCGGTCGCGCGTCTCGGACTAATTGCACTTCATGCCAAACAAGGGAGACAGAGGGTGTATTGTACAAAAAAAGAAAGCAAGAATATCAACCATGATACTTTTTGCTTTCCGGGTGTAGTGATCAATCAAAGATAATTGTTAACTTTCAATCACATGCAAGCTGTCGGGTTTCCTATCAAAACTCGACAAATCGTCTCGTTTAGGACAAGAAGACGAGATGACGAGTGATTGAAATTTGGCAAATCGACTTGTTCAGGACGATGCCCCCATCACCTGTGATTTGGCATAAAGCTTTTTTTTCTGGAGGGGGGGGGGTACCTACAAATGTATGTATAAAACTGGCTCACCCCTTCTTTTGATTTTCAGCTGAAAGGTTCAGCATGTACGATTTGACTCTTATCCATATCTCCAACATTTAAGATAGCTTTGGCCGGGTAGAAAACAACACGCAAGAGGTCCCCTCCCTCTTTCAGCGACTTCTTCAGGGATGTCACCTTCGCTACATTTCGCCTACTTGTTCTATACAAGTCGACATGGTTAACTTGCCGGGTTCCATCAACTCGTATTCTTATGTCCTCGTCCTAAACAAGTCGACTTGCTGAATTCCAACAGCTTGTCTTTTCGCCGTTTAACTCGTCTTTCGTCTTCGTGTCCTAAATTATCTCGTCATCTCTTTGGCACTTTTAAGCTTCTGTAATTCTTTTACAAAAGTAATTTACTGAAACATTAGCTGTTCCAATGGAATGCTTAGTATCAATTTCTTAGAAACCCTCAGAGCCAAGGCTAAGGCCAAGGTTTGAAAAAGCTGACCTCGTGATGCTTTACATCCAAGACCGAGCATCGAGGCACTTTACTATCTAATTTCATTTAAACCTACAGAATCTTCTACCGATATATCGGCAAACACATCGGTGACATCTACGACGAGTAACGCTACTCAAACAATGATGAATTCGACAACACCAACAGCTCCTACCGACAATATCACGACCACGAACCCGATGTCGACAGTGATGACGAATACTACAGGCAATTCAACATCATCTACCATGTCTATCACCACAAACAATACGTCGTCATCGACCATATCGTCGACAATTATGAATAATGTTTCGGGCAACGCAACGACGTCTATGACCTCGACTATGGCAGTGTCAAACACGTCTACCGATGGGCGGATAATTACGAATGGTTCCGACATCATTTCGTCATCACCGACAACGCCGATGACACCAGCATCGAGTAACGTGACCCGAACTGAACCTTCAAATAAAACGACAAAATCAGCAGGAGATCTAGGTAAACATCTTGATGTAAATTAAAATCATAGATTCGAATGAACTATCTACCGTGCACCCACACACATGCACACCCAGATATGGTGCGTATGTGTGGTTACGTGTATAATATTTGGGTAAATGATGATGGTAATGGTGATGACGATGAGGGGGTATCATGGAGAAGAAATGAAAGTTTCTTTCATCAGAGATATCAGCTCCAATCAGAGTGAGATTAAAATCTTTAGTATAGGAAATGGATGAATTATTAGTGACATATCAAGGTGAAAAAGAAAAAAAAGGCATCTCTTGTGGTTCTTGAGATATCGCAATAGCAAGGCTAAAACCTGATATTTCAGAAATTATCCTCTGTGATATTTGAACTTGGAACCCAAAATCTGATTAGATCATCTTCCTATGGTGTAACATATACTATCACCAAGTATGAGCCTCGTATCTCTAGAGGATTTTGAGATATCGCGATAACAAGGCTATTTCTAGAATTTCAGAAATTGACCTGTGATCTTTGACCTCTGACCTAGTTACTACAAATCTAATAAAAACCGTCTTCATATGGTGATACATATCATCAGCAAGTTTGAAGTTCATATCTCGAGTGATTATTGAGATATCGGGACGGACGTACGGACGGACAATCCGACAACAGAATGTCTCCGGTACCACCTTCGGTGGGCGAAGGCATACAAATACATTTCAGCTTGATATTGTGTTTACGATATCATTTTGTTAACAATTTCTACAGGCTTTTTGACCACTCACGCTATCATTGGGATATCTATCGGTGGTGCAGTGCTTCTACTCATCTTGTTCCTGGTAATCATCTGCGTGTGCTGTAGAAGGTAGGTCTCTACTCATGAACGTCTGTTCGGGAAGGGGGAGGGGAAGGGGAGGGCAATTTCCCCCTCTCAATAATATCAGAATAAACTGTGCATCCCCAAGAGCGGCTTTGATTATTTCAAAATTTTGTCCACATCCCCCCCCCCCCAGACAAATCGATGCCAGTGTATCTATTACGCTGTTACGCACATTTCTTATGATTTTCCCCTTTTGCTGAAATGCTCCCCAGGGAGTGGAGAATGTGCATACAGTTTGCGCGGGCAAGCCTGAATCCATACCGGGATAATAATGTAAAGCGCTTAGAGACATCGTCGATATATCAAGCGCGATACAAAAGCGGAGTATTATTTACACTATTAATATTATTTTTGTTCTCTCATTGGATCCCCTTCCATGACTAATCTTCATGTTATAATACATGTATTGTCGTATTTTCTTTTTATCAATAATTTTAATAATATTAATTTCCTCTTCCGCCTTTTGTACATTCATCGTATTGTTACATTGTCATCGTACTCGTTTCATTTCCCTCCTCTCTTAGGCGTATAAACAACCCTAATTTCTTTTTATTTTGTTTTCAAGTTCCCTTTCTGGAAAATATTTTGTTCAATTACTCATCAGTCATTAGGCAAAATGAACTCTATTTGGTTAATCCTTCAAAAGAATAAAAACTATGAATTCTAATGCACGAAGTGTTTTCAGATACATGAGGGTCCTCATATCTGAGAATTTCTTTTTCATTTTTAAAGTGAGCGTAAGCATGATTATAATGTTGCGATTTCATGTGGCAGTGTAGCCTACTGTACGCGTACACTGTCACTTGAAGTTAAATCATTCTTTAAGATCCCATCATCAGAACATAGAGGTGTGGTGGTCGAGTGGTTTAAACGCTTGACGGGAGATGGGAAGGTCGTGGGTTCGGGAATCGGCGCGGCCACTCGGGTGCTAAATGGGTAATGATAGGAAGAAATTCCTTGATTGGATGGTGTGGGCAAATGAGATTTGTAGCATAGCTATTAGCAGGATTTTATTATTGTTATAATTATTATTATGATAATGACTAAGCTGCAATTTCAAGTGGCAGAGTCGCCATACTGATCTGGTAGGCCTACTTAAAGTTGAAGCATTCTTGTTGTATTATATTACATGATGTTAATGAAAAGAATGATGTCTGACTCCCCAATCCCCAACTCCCTTCCCCTTCCCCGATAGGCCAGCCAAGCCACTCTCAGCCACCATTAGAGAGATGCACAGTGAAGATTTCGACCGGGGTTTCATAGCACTCGATCCCATCAACGCCGGACTCAACGGTGATGTGAAGAATAATGTGGGCATCGATGGTCCAGCCTCTCTCGAGATCAAAGATGAACTCGTTCCAGAGAAGGAAGCGACGGAAAATAAAGCACCAGAATCGGCGACCGCGACAGGTAAGTTTTACAAATAAAAAACAGGGGCGGATCGGGGAAAGAAGCCTCCTAACAAGACCTTAACTCATATACCCAACATAGCCAGCGACATGTATATTTGTACTCCAGTGACATTTCTTGAAAACATATCTTTTCTAATGTCATTATTGTGACTCTGAAAATAGTGAAAGCCTTTACTCTTTTGTTTAATGTTTATGAAAAAAAGACAAAAAAGATGTAATCATTCTACTTAAAGAAGGGAGGATGTTATCTTTGCTTGTCACAGATTTCTTAAGATTTCTACTACTACTACTACTACTACTACTACTACTACTACTACTACTACTTCTACTACTACTACTACTACTACTACTACTACTACTACTACTACTACTACTACTACTACTACTACTGCTACTACTACTATTACTACTAATACTACTACTACTACCACCAATACTACTACCACTACTACTACTACTACTTCTACTAAAATAATGATAATAATAATAATAATAACAATACTAATAATATAGCGTTTAATAATAATATTTCTGAGCGCTGTACTACCATCTGAAAAGATCACGATTAGAGACCTTGTATTTCGTAGACTAATTCATCACGTTCATAGAGCATTGTATATCAAAGGTTAATCATTCAAAGGATGTATGAAATATTAACCCTTCTTCCTTGTTTCGATCTGCTTGCTAACTTGCCTGTCTACTAGACATAACGGTCCCCGTATTTGGAATGATTTAACTGATAAGCTAATATTATGCACAACTATATCATCCTTTAAAGTTCTATTGAAGAGACAGTTGGTCTCTTCTTATTTCCCTTAACTCTTTCTTTTTAGTTGTTCTACCTTGCAATGTACCATGCATGTGTGTGCGTGCGTGCGTGTGTGTGTGTGTGTGTGTGTGTGTGTGTGTGTGTGTGTGAATGGTGTTTGTGTGTGTGTATCTTTAATGTGTAGTTTCTTATTTATATATTGTTATTGTTGTTGTAACGTGTACAAACATGTAATCTCGTTATTTATTATTTATGTCAGGGGACTATTTTACTTACAAGTTTTTTCAAACTTCCTTTTAGTCTCCGATTTCTTAATTCCAGAATTGTAAGATTATGATTGTTTCATGTTAATTTTGTATATATATATTATGTTATGGTTTTATGATTGAAATAAATGAACTGAACTTATAGACACATTTTTGTTTGCTATTAATCAACCTTATTCGATTAATTCTAGAAACATAATTTTGATCGACTAAATTCACAGTGCATTATATTTATTTCGAAACCTCGTTTAAATTGAGTATCAATATTTGTTTTGCAAAATGTAAATATATAATGATGAATATGCAAATAGCTATTTTCAAACGTTTATAAGTAAAAACGAAAGCAAGTTAGCCGAAATAAGAACTAAAAGGAAAGAATGAAAATGGTTCCAAAGATTCACAGCCGTTCTAAAGTTTAAGGAATACGGTCGCAAGGACTTTCGAAAAACAACGTATGGTAATGTCATTTGCAACCCCTCGGATTTTACAACATAATCTAAACACTTTTCTATTATATCCATTCGAAGTATTGAAATTGCTCTTGACTAGATTTTTGGAAAGTAATTGCGATCCTATCCATTTCATTTTCAAGACGGAAATAATAAACGCCTTCTATTATTTGCCTTTGAGAATTCTTCTCGATTTCATTTTTTTAAACCGCATGTTTCCTTGTAACAATTAACTCCTCTCAATTTTAGATAAAACGATTAATTCATCTAAATGTTCACAATAAACACTTACGCAGAAGCCGCGTCAGTTGATCACCCCACGCCAGCCATAGACAGCAGCGCCCCCATCGAGGAGAAGGAGAACATTGACAGTGGCAAAGATGAAAAGAAAGGCGAGGACGATGCCGACAAGGGCCCTGACCAGAAAAACAAGACCGTTGACATCTTCGCAATGGAACCGTATGTACACGTCGACATGATTAAGAGTAGTCGAGGAGGAGGGGGGGGGGGGGGGGGGGGTGGGGAAGGGGAGTGGAAGGGGGAATTTCCCATCACAAATGATTTTCGTAAACAAATTATGAGTGTACTATTTTCTATTGTATTCTTCGGTTTATATGCTTAGGCAGCCCCTCCCCCAATCGTAATCCCAAATGAAATATATCGCTGTGAGACAGGAACTTAACCATCTTAAATCATGTCAAATATATGGCCGCTTACCTAGCTTATAATATTCGTACTGAGAATGTTTTTAGAATTTCGGTATTTGATAATGTCATTGAGTTTGATACAATAATCCCCTAAGAATTAAACCCCCAATAGCCTTCCATGAATCCGTATTCCAATTGGTGTTATACAATTTGTTTGTTCTATAACCTTTGACCCTTTAAAGGTTCGTTCAGATATAACGCACTTCATCGCCTCGAAGACAGCAACACCGCCCCTGATTTTTGTTAACGCAAACATGGTGGCTACTGCGCCACAAAGTTTTGTTAATATTTGTATGAACTGCGCCACAAAGTTCCTGCCCGTATTTAATACTTTACGTCATTAAAAAAAAAACTGCTTTCAAATAGATCAAGACCGGCTCCGCTTAGGCCGATCAAAGCTGATGTCATCGATCCCGAGCTTGCTACTGACAAAACGGTAAAGCCTAAGCCTAAACCTAAGCCTGCACCCGTTCCTGAGGTAGACCAGGTCAACGAAGGCGATGTCGACCAGGGAGACAAGCAAGAAACGCCAGCAGACGACAAGGATTTACCCAAGGCAGACTTGACCACCAACGATACGGCTAAGCCCAAGCCTAAGCCTAAACCTAAGCCTACACCCACCACCATTCCTGAGGTAGACTTGACCAGCACCGACAAGGTCAACGAAGTCAATGTCGACCAGGAAGGCAAGCAAGAAACGCCATCAGGCAGTGACTTACCTGTACCAGCGGATAGGCTGTCAGCATCGTAAGTTGTAAAATGTATATACTTTATTTGTGTTTTCTGTTATTACAGCTTCATGTATTAAAGATTGGTTAATTCTTGTTTCGGGTTTTATACGTCTTCATCTGATCGTTGTACTTTCTCCATCCCCTTTAGCTACCCTTCAAACGCGTGAAAAATCCCATAACTGTTATAATTATATATTATGCAGCCTTATATCTATCGCATTTTGAACAATTTCCGAATCCCCTTTACGGATAGGACCCCCCCCCCCCCTCTCCCTAATAACATAATTGATTTTACAGTATAATCATACAGAAGATGCTTTAAAATTCAAAGTGACATCCTTTCAAAATCCAAACTTTCTCTCTCGGTCGCTACGCTCCGTAGAAGACCATTATTCTCTGAAAATATAAAAAAATATTATGAACGAGATAAGAAATGGAGTTGGGGGGGGGGGGGGGGGGCTATATGAAGGTAAATGTAGTAAGCGTAGCTGCATTTCATAGCTAAATTTGTCTTTGAAGTCATGTTAACGTCCACGTAGCTTTAGGTTTGCTCGTATTCACTGAAACCTATTAGAGATACAGAAATGTGTATCGTATGAGGTCATTACAAAGAACCCTGTTTTCCAAACAGGTCAACCCCTGCTCCGACAGGTGCCGTCTCGTCCCGCTCACTGCTAGCTGATATCATAGATCCCAATCGGACTCCTGGCAACACGGCTAAGCTCAAGCCTAAGCCTAAACCTAAGCCTAAGCCTACACCCAATCCTGAGGAAGACTTGACCACCAACGACAAGGTCAACGAAGGCGATGTCGACCAGGAAGCCAAGCAAGAAACACCAGTAGACAACAAGAACGTACCTGTACCAGCGTATAGGCCACATTTGTCGTAAGTTGTACAATGTATATTCTTGATTCGTGTTTCTGTGTTATCACAGGTACATGCATTTCAGAAAAGGTTATAGGATTGGTTTGCCCCACCCCCTCATCTTAGAGAAACTGTTCAATTTTTCAAGTACCCCTTTTTTAAATACTATCCCTAGTAACAACTAGAAGATATACGTTTATGGATGGGTTGTTATGTCCTTTATCAATGGGCATTATGCTATTTTGTTAGTTCCTTCTAGCAAAATATGTCTGTGTATCCGGGCTGTGTATGGTGTACATAATATCTGTTAACTCTCTGTACCTGTATGAAATCTTTTTTTTTTGGTAATAAATGATAAAACATAATGACGAGTTTATCAGGGAACATTTACGGGTAAATGTGCTAGGATAGTTGTCCGGGATAGCCTGAACTAGCCTTTGGTTATTATTTTCAACCTCCCTTTCATTCTCTTTATCTTTTCTGTGCTAGACCTAGACGGAAGAATACTGTCCCTACACAGAACTCAGCCGCTGGACTCCTGGCCAATATCCTGAAACCAAAGGCACCTTGACAGGCACCTTGGCAGGCACCTTGGCAGGCACATCAGAATGACCATTACATCATCTTTGGTTATAAGTACCGTATGCAGCATTGGCTCTGCAGTTGTTGTCCCTTCTCCCATTTGAAGGAAACTGAACGGTTCCATGGAAGAAAAGTTGTATTTTGTTAATCCAAGTCATGATTCGGTTGAAGCCTAATAATAACCCTTCTTTCATCCAGCTAAGGTTGGGCGTTGCATCATGTCTGTATACCAAATTCGATTTGTATTATTCATTGTTTCTTAGTTTATGTAAACAAAAAGAAGCAAACAAAACAAATGAGTTAATACAAATAGGCATAATAACAATTGAATGCAGAAAAGTACAGGTACAGTATGCTTCTTATCTCTGTGTATACAACCCCATGGTTTCTGTTAACGCTTCTATATACAAAAGATGCAACACATATAATTATACCTATGTACAGAGGTACATATCTATCTTACAATAACAACAAAGGTAGCCTTAATGAATAGGCTGTTAGTAGTTTGTTGATGTTGAAAATGACAAGTGGAAGGACTGATGGCAATTACCATATTGAAGTCAGCATTTTCATTGCCTCCACCAGCAAAGATGTGCCGGAGGCATTATATATGAGCACTCTTTCCTTTCCTTTGTATCACTTACTGCATAAATCTACCTAATTTCACCATAGACCGATGAACTTGTTACATTTATTTTCAAAGGGCGAATACAATATACGGTCTGATTATGTGCAACAATAGGTTATTTGTACACTTTGTATAATTCGTCCTTGTTTTCACGAAGTGACGGTAGTGAGGAAAATCGTAACGCAAAGTGAATGCAATTTTGTTTCACTACCGTCACTTCGTGAAAACAGCGACGAATTATTATAGGCAATTAAAACACTTGTGTCATTTTTGTGTGTGCTGATATCTTGTCAATATGCGCTGGGATTTGAATATAATAACTACGTTTATTGCAATTATTGAACGTGATTGTTTTATACATAGCGTGAAGTTAAGTAAAGATCATAGGTCTGCAATTCTAAATTCATTATGAACATGATGAAGACAACGAAACATGAGTTCACATGCCGCAATGTATAGCTACGATCTGATTTGAATTTAAATATCATGTTACTGTACATAAATGTCATATTTTTGTAATCTCTTTATGAGTATATCTATGGATAAACATTTATATTAAAAAAAAAAGAATTTTGTGGATCCGTGATAGTTAGTACGCTTGATTAACATTGGGCTATTATAAAATGTTAATCCCAAGGAAGGCTAGTCAGCCAAATGTAACACTTGTTTCCAAGACATCTCATTCTGTTTTATGTATGATATTATGGTTTTCACTAAATAACTACATTTTATATTTGTTTGACCTTCATCTGGTTCATGCACATAAGCAAAAATAGTGTAGTGTTACTAAATCGGAGCAGGCCTTTGAACAAATATCATTGAAATAATAAATGGCGAATGTAAACAGTAATGCTATTAAACTTCTGGCTTTTAAAATTATTTTGAGCCCTTTAAGACCAGAGGAAGACTGAGGGAAACATAGCCAAAGAGAAAGAGAAAAAGAGAAAAAGAGAGAGAATAATTTTAACATGATTGAATGTTGCTGAGCTGGCGGTGGTAAAAAAAAACAAATGCAAAGAACTCTACATAATAAACCGAGCACAACAGTTATCATACTAGAGATATAGTGTAGCTAGATCTAGATTGAGAAAGAGATAGAGTGAGAGAGAGAGAGAGAGAGAGAGAGAGAGAGAGAGAGAGAGAGAGAGGGGAGAGAATAGAGAGAGAGAGAGAGAGAGAGAGAGAGAGAGGGCCATATACAGAGAGAGACAGACAGACAGAGAAAGAGAGATAGACAGAGAGAGAGACAAAGAGAGAGGGGAGGGCAGATAGAGACAGAGAGAGGGAAAGAAATAGAGAAAGAAAGAGAGAGAGAGAGAGACACACACACACACACACAGACGGAGAGAGACAGATAGGGGAGATAGAGAGAGAGAGAGAGAGAGAGAGAGAGAGAGGGACAGAGAGAGAGAGAGAGAGAGATACAGACGGAGAGATAAAGCGACCTCCTCAATATCATTCAAAACCCGATCTACTTATTATTTTTAAAAGTTTTGTTTAAATGATACCAAAGTCAAATGGTTAGGTATATGGTCATATCGTAACAACAGAGAAAGAAACGCTAAAACGTGAATTGCAGAATTTCCTGAGAACCTTATGTCAATTCTTAACAAAAGAATGAGAAAACGCTTTTTCGAAAATACTGCTCATCATCTTAGTCATTTTGCATCCACCATGACCTTTCGTGAAACGAAATCAGAATATCATATGAAGATGACGCAACCTTTCGTAGGGTTTTCACAAAGTGTCATGTACATTGGACCAGACCATTTGTAGATTAAAGGGTTTAATTTCACAAGCATTACCTCCAACATTTCGTGAATAAAGGGTATGTTTTCATTACATGTCGGGTAACAGACCACCCGACTCAACACGATGACTCGATGATTCGAAGTCAACCCATTATACCTATATCATATATATCATCAGTGTCTTTTCAATTGCAAATTTGTTTCCGAGACAAGAATAAATAGTACAGTATATGTAACCGAATTTGTCAAATACATGGCCTGGCTGAAGTTGATGATTCGGTTGTCGCATTTTAATCGCTGCAATTCCATTCTAAACATTGCAGATGAAGATGATCTTTTCACAACGACTGGTTTAATAATTGTACAATACAAGTCATCAGATTGGCTGAGCTAATAGTAACACGATACATGACGCATGATCGGAGAGGGCGTTTGGCAACTGATTCTTCCTCTTCCATATACTGGCAAACAGTACCTGACGATAACTCGAAATGATGACGATGATCATCAAAATAGTCTAGCACCATAACATTTCTGTTTTCCTTGGCTGAAAATTGTACTAGCATATCATTTTGATTAACACCTGTACGAGGAAGAAGGGGGCTTAAAAACATATAGTATCTTATTTCATTTGAGCCAATTCCAAGTGCCACATCTTGCAGACTGAAATAAAACGCCATCATCTTATACCATAAGATCTGGTATTGAATTGTGAGTGATCATTTTAACTTCGAATCTTGGTGTCTCATCACCTAAACTTCCTGCTCATCATCATCGTCATTTTCGATTTGGAAGGTTTTTTCACGTTATTTGAACTCCTGTTGAATAGACCACTACAATGGCACAACTATTTCAGAGGTATGTGGTTTTGGTTTTGCACTAATTTTCAAACATATGAAAGACAAACTTTAATATTTTCGGGATATCTGAGGAGGCTTTATTAAACTTATCTACCCCTTACTTCGAGTGTCGGTTGCTCAAAGACAAACGTTTAACAATCCATGAGCACACAGAAAGAATACGTATGAGTTTAAGAATAACAAATTTGTTTAACACAGCGATTATGTAAAAATATTATTGTTCTCCCTTATTTTGAAATTATTTGGATATCACCATTTGCTATTGTTCTTATCTCGATTTGTTTAAGATAAAATGCATTAAACACAATGCCGACATTGTTTGGCCAATCTCAAAAGCAATTTGAATATATATGAGCGCATTCATCTCTAATGTTACTTATAAAGGTACGGAATAAAGTATGTACGATCATCGTGAGGCGAAATGAGAGAACATTAATACACTAAATTGCCTTATTGGATCACTGTTACTTTCTATACTTTTCTTTCGTATTTTTCTTCTCACACAGATCTAAGTCACCGTCGTTTATCGCCAGTGTAATTTTTCTTATAACTATCATAATGCTTGCGGAAAACACACAAGCACAAACGAATGCTACGATGGAGTACCAGAGGGAAACTATCTCAGAGACAAACTCTGCCACAACCTCACCCACAGACTTGACCACAGGCTCTACCACAACCTCACACACCGACTTGAACGCGAGCTCTACCACAAGCTTATCCACACCCTCAACCTCAGGCCCTATCACGACCCCATCCACACACCCGACATCAAGCTCTACCATAGCCACACCCACACCCTCAACCTCAGGTCCTATCACGACCCCATCCACACACCCGACATCAAGCTCTACCATAGCCACACCCACACCCTCAACCTCAGGTCCTATCACGACCCCATCCACACACCCGACATCAAGCTCTACCACAAGCTTATCCACACCCTCAACCTCAGGCCCTATCACGACCCCATCCACACACCCGACATCAAGCTCTACCATAGCCACACCCACACCCTCAACCTCAGGTCCTATCACGACCCCATCCACACACCCGACATCAAGCTCTACCATAGCCACACCCACACCCTCAACCTCAGGTCCTATCACGACCCCATCCACACACCCGACATCAAGCTCTACCATAGCCACACCCACACCCTCAACCTCAGGTCCTATCACGACCCCATCCACACACTCGACATCAAGCTCTATCATAGCCACACCCACACCCTCAACCTCAGGTCCTATCACGACCCCATCCACACACTCGACATCAAGCTCTACCTTAGCCACACCCACACTCTCAACCCCAGGCCCTATCACGACCCCTTCCACACACCCGACATCAAGCTCTACCTTAGCCACACCCACACTCTCAACCCCAGGCCCTATCACGACCCCTTCCACACACCCGACATCAAGCTCTACCTTAGCCACACCCACACTCTCAACCCCAGGCCCTATCACGACCCCTTCCACACACCCGACATCAAGCTCTACCTTAGCCACACCCACACTCTCAACCTCAGGCCCTAACACGACCCCTTCCACACACCCGACATCAAGCTCTACCTTAGCCACACCCACACTCTCAACCCCAGGCCCTATCACGACCCCTTCCACACACCCGACATCAAGCTCTACCTTAGCCACACCCACACTCTCAACCTCAGGCCCTAACACGACCCCATCCACACACCCGACATCAAGCTCTACCACAAACTCATCCATAGACTCGACATCAGGCTCTACCACAACCTCACGTACACACTCGACCACAGGCTCTACAACAACCTCATCCACACTCTCAACCTCAGGCCCTATCACGACCCCATCCACACACTCGACATCAGGCTCTACCACAACCTCACGTACACACTCGACCACAGGCTCAACTTTAGGCTCAAACACAGGCACAATCGAACCGCCTTCGTCTTCATCCCAGGTAGGCCTACGTTCTGAAACAACCATTGCAACAATGGCATCTTCACGGGTTACAACTAAAACACAGGAAACTGCAAATCTGAACCCCAAATCTAGCCAGGGAGACGGAGCCGTGAGTAACGACGCAGTCCGTAAACAAATAGGTGAGTTATGATTTTGGTAGCAAATCAATAGTTGTTCTTTAAAGTTATCAAAGCCTAAACACAGCAGCTCGTCTTGTTTCTTGTGTTCCTCGTACTTCTCACTTTACTCCTGTTCTGCAAAAACTTCACTGGCTTCCTATCACTTCTCGCATTACCTACAAAATCCTCCTCCTTACTTTCAAGACTTATCATGATTTCGCTCCTTCATATCTTTCTGAACTCCTTCCTCGATACACTCCTGTCCGGACTTTGCGATCTGCTTCTCAATCTCTCCTCTCTCGGTCTCACACTATTTCATACAAACAATAAGGTCAACGTTCTTTCGTTTATGCAGCTGCTTTTCTTTGGAACAATTTTTCCCTTCAAATTCGCAATGCTAGCTCTGTAAATACATTTAAAAAAATTCTAAAAACACATCTCTTTAGGTCTTGTTCCTGAATAGCTCTTTTGACCTTTTGCCTTTTTAAATATTTTTTGTATATTACCGTAGGATACTATTAATTTATGAACTATTTGTATTTTGGTTGTGAGTGATTTGTAATTATGTTCATGTATTATTGTCATTTGCAAAGTTTTAATGGTAATTTAAATTGATATAATTTGTAATGCAATTTCCGTTTCCTTTACTTATCAGCTATTTTTCTTCTAAACCGCTTAGAGGCAATTTGTAATTTGCGGTATACAAATATCTTATTATTATTATTATTAAAGGAAAAGGTGTGCAAAGTTTTTATGGAGACAACAAGCAATAATTCTTGGACTGTTTTTGAAACAAGAAACGCTATTTCTCCAAGAAAGAAGGCGGTCAAAGCGCATATCAACAAGTTTGGAAAGAAAAAAAAAACACCATGAAAAAACCCTCTAAAATGCAGAGCGGTGCAAATAAAATAACCTTAAACATTAAAAACAAACAAAGTTATTATATTTGTGCTAGAACGCGAGATCATACTGATTTTAAGTAGTCTCTCTTTTAATGTTTGAAAGATTTAATACAGATATTGAACATTTATTTTCCGAAGATCTCGGAGGTTCTTGGCTAAATTCTAATCTTGTTCCTCAGTGTGTGATGTTCCTAAGTTTCTTAGTAAAAGACAATCAAACCCTTGTAATAAGTTGATTTTTTAAGAAAGCAGCCAAATACCAGGAACAGAAAGGCACAAGTTTGAAAAGTTATGGATGTTTAATGTTTAATTTTAATTTCTAAATTTGTATTACCTGAATGTACAATCTATTACATGTAAACTAAATAGGAATTGTGTATCATTATTGTTGTTTGTAATCAATTATTTTCATGTATCAGGCATAAATGTTCGTTTGTATTCCGCCCTATCTCTGTTTCCTTCTTTTCTAAGCGCACAGGGACTTTCTTTGTGTTAGTGATATGTGCTATAAAAATAACGTTCATTATTATTATTGTTATTATGTTTGAAATATGAGATCACCAAGTCTATGCGAATCTCAAATTGGTAGTGTGGTTAGTGGATTGTGACGTAGGACGTGGATAGCTCTTCCATTTGTCGTGTACAAAAATATCACTAATTTCTGTTTTTCCCGTAAGTTCCTTCTCTTCTGGGGGACTACTCAAAATATATAATAGATAGCAGATCATTATAGGTCCTCTAAATAGAAAAGACCCTCCCGAGCCATGAACTTTTGACGAAATTAAATTTAAGTAATTTTATATGTTGGAACAGATGGGAAACTAGTTGGGCACTATACGTCACATTGACATTACCGCTTCAACAAATATGAAATTCCCATATACGTACTGTATAGTGATTACAACTTTCACAAATTCACAACTCTCTTATATTTAGTCAGATTTAATTGAAACTTTCATCAGTTTGCTTCTTTGAAGTTTCTGCTTTCGTTTAGAGTAGTTGTCTATTCGGGGTGGATTTTCCTTTAAGACATGAAAACAGCCGTGATAAGTGTTCATTGATAAGAGCTAGGTTGGCAGAGACAACGCCAATATATACATTTTGTGTTATACAAGAAGGTGAAACTAAACAGAATAACGCACTAAAAAAGGGACTTCAGTGGCAAATAGCCATGGAAGCCTACTAATTAGAGAGCAAAGATTGAATTTACCCCTTCAGTTGATATGACTTTTGTTGACGATAACCATAATAGTATACAAAGGAGAGTATTTAATAAATTGTTTAGAGTCTGCCAATTAATTGCCACTATCTAACCATGCTAAACCATCGACCAAACTTTGCTAAAGGTAGTAGTATAATGAATACACATGATCATGAACGACAAAACACCTTTAACATGATCGGAAGTGTCTATTGCTACCATGGTAGGAATTTATTCCTTGAAATGCTAGAGCGCCGTATGGCAGCCGTGCTAAAGCCAGGGTAATAATCGGGAGCGCCAGGAGGGTCAAATCTGACTGACATGAGCGCTATACAAGAACCCACTATTATTATTATTATTTATCTTGTCCAAGCATTGTTTTTTTCGTGAAAAATAGAAAAAACTTATCGATTTGTGTATTTTTACGGTCTCAATTTGCTTGTATATTTTGTCCTAGATGGAATCGGGTCTATGGCTGTTGCTGGATTATGTCTAGTTGTAGTCATTCTTCTAATCATCGCAATTAACGGATTGCTATTCTTCCGATCAAAATTAGGGTAAGCTGAATTTTTTAAAACCACAGGTTTAAGAAATTATTAGGGGTAAATCATACGTCTCTCTCTCTCTAAGTGCCATGTCGTTTGACTTTGACGATCATGCTGTTCCACAACCCTCGGCTCCTAGCATTCTGTATTAGTACCACTCCCAGTTCTTTCACTCCTCTCTTCCAACAATTTCTGCAGACTGTCCATCCAAAGTATCCTCCTTCTTCCCCTACTCCTTCTTCCCACAATTTTCCCTGTCAAAGCAAGATTCTCTTGGCCTTCTTCACGTGTAATGTGACCCATACGTACAAACAAATATCGCCGATTGAATTGTGTAAGAAACAAAGTGAGCTTATCTGCCGTAGTTTACAGGAGGGATTAGACCGCTCTGCAAGGTCACTGGACAGGTGGTTATCTCATCAACTCAGTTCTCAATTAACAAAAGAAAAAAAGGATCATGGGGGACCAATGATCACCGATTAGGCATTGTTTTCTATATAGAGGGAGCTAGTAGCTACACGTAGGACACTGTGGCTTTTATCTCTAGCCTCATTCGTGCCTTGGAAGTAAGCCATATTTTAGTTGATTGCGTAGGTTTTGTCAGATTAAAAGGACGACACGTTGATAATACTGTAATGAAAGAAAGTAAACAAAGATACAAACAAAATTATTGACGAACATCTCGTTGAAAAAAACTATTGTAATTATTCCTTTAAATTCATTTCTCCATGCATGCCCAGTTAAAAAATAATAAAGATGATTAAGCAAACGAAATCTTAAATTAATATTTGGGGATAAAGCCCTTTTAAAATGATGGCAAAATTTCACTTAGTTTGTATTATAATAATAATAATAGTGAACATTTTGATGGTTACTCCCAGGGAGTGGAGATTGTGCACACAATGTGTGCGGCAAGCATTGAATCCAATGACCAGAGTAATAGTATATTGGTAAAGCGCTTAGAGAGATCCTAAAACCTAAATATTATTATTATCATTATAATGTGCCATGTCTGTCAAATTGACACACCTGAAAGAGGATGACATTAAAGACACATTACTGCAATGATTTTAAAAAAATGTGTTTGAAGACAAATGTTGATAAAAGAATACATAATTTGGGTTTTGATTGTATATTCTTTCATCAATATTCGACCTCAAACACAGTTTATTTTGAAAATCATTGCAGTCATGAGTTTCAAATGACACCCTTTCACATTATGATACAATTTGAGTGAAATTTCGCCATCAATTTTGGGGGCTCCCAACACTTTAGAGGGACCTGAAGTATTAAATTATGATTTCTTGCAGTACTGTTGTTGTGCTCTTTTAATTTAATTAAAAATAAGTGTTATTTTGATTTTTTTTATTGATAGATTGAATACTAGTAGCATTGTAGTAAACAAAGTTCATATTATCTTGCAGCGTATACAGTTCACGAAGAGAGGTTCTTCACGCCCTTCAAATGTATTTGATGAAGAAGGACCGTGTCAGTGAGGACGACGTCGAAGATAACTTCAAAGAGGACGCTGACGTCGACAGGAAAACCAACTCGTCGACTTCGCTGAACAAAGAGAGCCCTGTCGACCAGCCCACTGAGAAGAACGGGGATGTGCACGTGAAGGTCGAGGTCGAGGACAATGCAGGGTCTTCTAAGAACAAAAACGATGACGAAGAATCTAAAACCCCGGTAGAGAATGGTGACGGCAAAGACGCAACTGCTCCAGCTGCTGCTGCTGTCGTCGACGAAAGCAACAAACCAGAGGGAAAATCGAGAAGAATGAGATTGTGGTTGAAGTCATAGTAGAGAGTGCTATTAAAAATGAAGACAAGCAACCGTGATGTTTTTACTCGCAAGTCTGCTGCGAATGCTAGTCTAAAAACTACTTGGTAAAGAAAAAGAAAAAATGAAAATGAAAATAATTGTTTTTTCCTAGGGTTGATGCACAGGGTTAGAGACCTTGTACTTTACTAAAAAGTAAACCGTAAGCCTAGACGTCTTATAAATGAGACATGTGTGTCCTTTCCCCCAATTTAATTGAGCTGTGACCCCCTCCCCCACCCCATTTTTATATTCTTGTTTCCGCCAATAAAAAGGAGGTGTTATGATGTGAAATACTCTTATTACGATTCGCTTCAAAAATCTGAAACTGAAACTCGGCCAGCATTTCCATCAAAGTCATCAAAGAACTTGTTTTAAAAGTTAAAAACCCCACCCTTATCCAGTTTCTGTCTATTTAATATTTACATGTAAATGATGATAAAGATGTAGAGGTGTCGTGGTCGAGTGGATATGTCACCGGACTGTGGATCACAAGGTCCGCGGTTCAAGTCCCGCCGCGGCACTAATGTCCTTTGGCAAGACATTGATCTACATTTGCCACTCTCCACCCAGGTGTTAAAATGGGTACCCGGTAGGATGCGAAAGCTAATGTGGTTTGATTAGCAAGTGGCGCTTGTAAAATGGCGACTGGCTGGAATGCTCCCCAGGGAGTGGAGAATGTGCACACCTTGTGTGCGGGTAAGCCTGAATCCGATGACCGGGGTAATAATATGTTCCGCGCCTAGAAACGTAGTATTAGGCGCATTATAAATGTGAGCTATTATTATTATTATAAAGATGATGATGATGATGATAATATTAATAATGATAAATGTTTCTTATAATAGAAGCGCATTGACATTACAACTGAATGTTTGAACCATGTAATATCTTCTGCTATACACATAACTTGCCTTTAATAAGACTATTCCAATCAGATACAAATAGGCAAATGTATAAATACAAAATTGCTATGGTCGATAACAATTTGCATTCTATTCAAAATCTTATTCATAATATCTGAAGATATGTTCATCCTCTTTATTTACATTGAAATGATAAGTATTACTAAGTGTTCGACCATGTAATTAAAAGCATCTTTGCAGGAAATGTAAACTCTCGACGCCATATGATATCATAGAAATTAAAGTGATTAATGTGATTATTAAAAAAAGCAAAACAACAAGGTATAAACATAATACAACTTGTACTGGGAAAAGTGAGCTTTCATGAACTTAAGGAAATGATTTAAATTTAAATGGAAAATAAATTATGCAAACGTTGACTAATTTGAATAAACTCCCTATAATTTACCATTAAATTTTCCTTGTGACTAGCTGTTTATTTCCATAAATGTCTATTTTCTCCAAATATTGTCTTATGATTTGTCATCTCTGCCCTGGGGAAAGAGATTTATTCCTTCATTAGCAGATAACAGAAATATTTATAAACTTGATTATTTCTTTGTATACAAAAGAGGAAAGGTGAGCAAAAGGGAGATCACGGAGTTGCCAATGTTTGTTAAATCAATTACAACTTCAAATGTTCACAGCTTTCTCCATCTTTACCACAATCATGTCCCTTTAACTTTAACTACTCGTATGAATTTGATATCATGGCGGACTTTCCCTTCGAGTACCTGAATTATAGATTTATAAATTTGTATGAAGGGCAAATGCTTCTTGCTATGAAAGTGAAATTAAGCCAAGTACATGATTATCGGCGTGAGATCAAAACTCCTATTTATAGAACACATACTCAAACATAATATTCTCATAGCTTTAGTAATAAATCAGACATGGGATATTTCAGAAAATAATTTGAAATAATTAGATCATCTAACAATTATCAAATTTCTTTTGTCTTCTTTTTCTTCTCCTTCTTCTTTTTCTTTTTCTTCTTCTTCTTCTTCTTCTTCTTCTTCTTCTTCTTCTTCTACTCCTTCTTCTTCTTCTTCTTCTTCTTCTTCTTCTTCTTCTTCTTCTTCTTCTTCTTCTTCTTCTTCTTCTTCCTCTTCTTCTTCTTCTTCTTCTTCTTCTTCTTCTTCTTCTTCTTCTTCTTCTTAACTTTTCTTCTTTTTCTTCTTCTTCTTCTTCCTCTTCTTCACTTCTCTTCTTTTTCTTCTTCTCATTCTTCGTACATGTACATGTAGATACATGTTATGTGCTCTATGGAATGTGCTTTATACAGTTAAAAACTAAATAATGTATACCCCTTGTTAATCTGATGTTTTTGTGTATAAGCCAAGAATCAAAAGTGGACCGTTTGAATTATGGCTCTTGTTGAATACTCTCACGTTCCCAAGATAAATGAATCAGGACAAATAAAAAGTTCACATACTTAATTTTTTTTTTTACAAAACTTGGTTAGGGTGTGAACAATTTAGTTGTTAACTGTACTAATATATACCTATGATCCGATTCTATAAGCATGTATTTCTTATCGTTAATTACCAGGTCCCTGTCTATCAAAGACTTCAGATTGATCAGAATTGATTACCTATCAATCGCAAACTTGCAAATATTTGCTCTTTATAACAGAAGTGAAACACAGTCAATATCAAGTTGCAATTTATTGGAATCAATCATAACTTTGCACAAGACGGTATCCATGACTTATGACAATAAGAAGAGTAATGATGATTTATATACCAAGGGACGCCTCATCAGCATCAGAGCTGTTCTCCCGGGGGCTAGCAATTACCAGGTATCCATGTGGATGTGGATTAATGTCTTGTCAAAGAATGTTAGCGACAGACGGATTCGAATCCTCACCTCTATGGATTGAGATTCAAGTTAATGAACCACTATACCATGACGCCCCCGCATGGTAATTATCTTAAAGGCATCGTTTAACAATGTTAAATCTGAGATGCATGGGCAGCATGGCTCTATGTGTTAACAGTGTCTGTGATATGGTGTAATATTGAAGCCCTAAACAAATTGCGCTTCAAAATGATCATGAAGTGCCTCAAAATATTAAAAATCTTTGAGTGACCGGTTTTACCATACTCGTTTTGCCCAATAGACTGTAGTATTATGAAAACCGTTAGGAAAAAGAATTTTGAAATTTCGATTTCCAATCATAAATATCATGATAATCACACAAGTGATCGGTTTGTAAAAGTTATGGGGTCCCTGACTACGTAAAAAGTGTATAACTATGATTGCAGCTTGAGCTACATCCAGGATTTTGTTTCATAATCTTAGAGAAAGCTACCCAATCCCTTTAAATCACTAGACAGACCATTGAAATGTATGACACCACGATGCTTGGCTTATGTATAGCATTATCATCTCTGAACCAGGAAGAACGTGCGGTGAGAAAATAAAGTCCCATTCAAGTAGAAACAACATCCTGATTGACACTCAACACCAGTATCTAACAGACGAATACCTGGCAAGCGAACATGTATATCATATTCATAAATATATATCATCATTATCAACCGACGCCTTGGTGGTTAAGCGTTATCTCCCGTTGATCAGTACTTCATTTTGATTTGAGCAGTCGTCATTTGCATGTCGAGAACTTCTAAACGGAACTTCAGAATGGCAGGATTTACACAAAGGTTAGTGCCTTACCGTCCTCTTATTTATCCGTGCATAGTTTCAGCCTTTTTTAAACCCGAAAGAGATGATTAATTTGTAAGGGAAGTACACCTTGATATTAAGTTGGTTAAAATACAGTTGGTTTAATAAAAGCAGAGAAACGAGAGACAGAAAGTAGTGAAAGTTTGAGCAATATCCGATTAAAAGTAGGAAACTTGTAAATGTTTCAAGTTGTCATCAGTTGTACACACATTGACATCACTGTGACGTATCTTGCTAGGTCCTCCCCAATGTACTATTTTCAGAAAATTTCGACAACATCGATTTTCTTAATTATTGAGGACGGAACAGATTTCTTTCAGACAGGGGTCGTATAAAACATATTTGCACTAATAATATTTAGGGGGAATGTATGATTGACAATTTTCTTGAGGGAAAATATAGATTTATGACGTTTTTAGTACAGAGCAAATTTGAGGGGACCCTTCAAGATACGTCACAGAGTTGCCAATATGTGTTTGATTGTTTGCACCTTAAAAAACACAAAACTTTCTTATTTCAAATCGATTTTCGCTTAAACTTTCACTGACATGTTTTACTAATATCGGTGGGGACTTCCCCGTTCAGTATAGCATGTCTATAGGAAAGCGTCAGGACATTGCGGAACTGAGAGCTGATATTCTACGTTTATTTCTCAAAGTCAACTTTGCATGTATATGCATACTAAATGGAACTACATGATTATAGTTTCTCATACTCGAATAGGTGTATACATGATATTGAAAACAGGAACATTTTTGTTTATATCAATCGACGTTCAGTAACATAGAGAACGAATATAAATAGATCCTAAATGAATGTATGCATAGACGATCTGGAGAGGAAAATGTTCAAGACCAAAATTAAAAAAGTTGGCGAAGGAGGAGAAGACGAAGAAAATAAAAAATGAAGAACAGAACAAAGAAGAAAAGTAAAAGAAGAGGAAAAACAATAGGAAAGAGAGGGAGAGAGAAAGAGAGAGAGAACAAGAGGAAGAGAAAAGAAAGAAATGATAGAGGTAGTACAGGAAGAGGGTAGTAAAAGAAGCAGAGGGGGGGGGGGGGAATAACAAGTAATGAGAATAAGAGGAAAGGGAAGGGGTAATAAATAATATATGGAACAAAATTGGGAGGGGGTGGTGTCAGGAGAATCAAACCTTAATAAATATGTTCTGAGGGATGTAGAACAATCGGAGGAATTAATTCATTTGAGATCACTACCTTTTTGAAGATCAACCCCTGTTTTCTTTTCCAATTGTCGTATTAAATTCCTTTCTCAATTTGAGAGATGAAGTAGAATATACTCGTATACGGCTACATTAAGATGTTCGTGTCCAAGTCTTACTAGGAATCACAGCAAAACGCTCATGCCCTTTTAGCATAATTATAACAAATGAACTTGAAGATCCACTACAAAATCACAATGATCATCGTGACTATTTTGCTAACGGGAGGATCAATGCGGCAGTTTGTGATCCAAACTTTACAAATTCATTACTTTCGTATCTAATATGTGATATCTAGTTCATCTCACATTTTGAGAATTTATGAACCAATTTTTTTTCTTCAAATTATATTTCCATCCAAGCCAACTGTACATGCAAGTTTTTAGATGTTTTTTTAATTTTTTTTTTCTTAAAGTCTACATGAGTGCGCCTACGACGGAGAATGAATTAAATTTACTTTTTAAATCGTTGAAAAGGGACGTGAAACGGAATTAATCGGGAACCAAGAGTATAATTAGGGTGCTGAGCATGATATGGGATTCTTTCAACTTGCCCCTCTGGACATCATGATGATTTTCGGTTTACTCGTATAGCGGAAAGATTTTGAAGTTTTATTATTCCTTGTAAAATGAACGTTGATTTTTACTATACTATATATTTATTAAACATCTGTATGGATATTTTCCGTTGGACCTATAATCATGATAATCTCATTAATTAATATCACAGCAATGTCAGAATGTTGAGTAATGCAATTAATGTCCACTACATATTATCCTAATTGAGTGTAGTAAATATGTACATTTAAAATATTCTTGTTTTTTGTCGTCTTCTTATTATTATATTCTTTATACATTCCTTCAATTAGACTGATTATTGGTTGTAATATTGTCATCTTCGTTGTTGTTGTTGTTGTTTTTGTTGTCAACTTGTAATATATTCCTTGTTTACTGAAAGAGTTACCAAGCCTTTTATATAATATTTTATAATATATTATAATATACAAAATCACTAAAATATACCTGGTAAATATTGTGTTCACTTTAGACACCGGTGTCCATCGGTTACCGGCTGCATGTTTCTGCTTGGAATGATTGCCCTGCTTTGTGCAGAAACGATAACAGCGCAAACAACCACAGGTACTAGTACGCCAGAACTAAGGACGGCAGAGATGGTGACAAGCAGTATGACCCAAACTAACGGAACTCCGACAAATCAGGCAACTTCAACTCAAGTATCTACAACCAATGTATCCTCACCGAAGGTATCCACGACCACCGTAACCAACACCACTACCATCACCACAGCAACATCATCATCTACGACCAATGCTACGATGCCTGGATCTACTCAAGATGGGGGGATTATAACTTCAACGAAAATCAAAGAATCTTCTACCGAGAAAATAGGTTAGTTACAAATCTAGTTACAGAATACGAATTAACAGAGAATTTGTAAAGTGTATTAAACAGAGAGCAAAAGAGAAGCAAGGACGTTTAATAAGTATTCAACGGGGGGTGGGGGGGGGGCAGCGCACTGAAACGAAAAAAAGCATCACTTTAGGAAGGTCCCCCGATTTGATGCCTTGCGTTGCTTAGAAATAACGCTCCGTGGACAGTTTCCTTGGACGATATTTCTTAATATAGTTTATAGATGTTGTAATCGGCCTATACGTTCCGGGTTTAGAGTTAGGGATATAGTTAGGTTTAGGGTTAGGTACATTTTGAATGTTTGGTGCATGGTTAAAGTTATGGGTTTAGAGTTAGTGCCAGGGTTAGGTTTAGAGAATAGGTAAATTCTTATTTTTTGGTGCAGGTTGGAGTTATAAGTAAAGGAGTATGTATCGCAAAATCTTACTTGCTCCCAAGTTTTGAAGAAAAGAATACAATCTCAATATATCGAAAATGAATAAGGTTGATTATTTGAAAGTATTTTCCATCGTGTTTTGTTCATTCCATCATTCTTATACTTTCAATTAACCCAGGATCCATAGCTATCGCAGGCTTGTGTCTGGTCATCGTTGCTCTACTTCTCATTGCAGTTAACGGATATGTGCTCTTCAAATCAAAAATAGGGTGTGTATTTATTATCATTGTTATCTAAATATATTTTCTAATAAATGAATCATTATCATTATCATCATTATCGTTGATGTTATCTATTATTCATTAATATTATTTTCATTATGATTGTTATTATCATTCTTCTTGTTCTTCTTTTATTATAATTAACATTATTACAAATATTATCGTTCTTTATTATTATCATTATAATTTTTTTGTTTTGTTATCATTATCATCCTCATCCTCATCATCATATATGTACTTACTACTTTTTTGTTTATCTATTTTTATACAAATCTACATGATTCATATATCACATTAACTGCCGGATATGCTTATTTCACATGAAATGATTTGGTTATCTGGAGTTAGACATGTTAGAATACCAACACTATTAAACGAACAATGCATAGACATTCGTCAATTTCGTAGAACAACGTACCGCGGTACAATTTCTTTCGCTTTCCTTTGTTTCCTTTAAAAAAAAACTTCTTCAAGGTAAAAAGTATCATGAAATTTCGTTATAACAAAAATACAAGTCAAATTAAGTTTTGAATGTATTCGACAAAATTAAAAGTTTATAATTTGCCTTTGATCATTTTTAAGTGTGTTGTATAAACTTAAAGAACAAACATTCTGCGGTATTAAGTTTGAACTAAAAATGATACTTCAAACAATGATCATGATGATAATTCATATGATCACATACAAATCATGTGATCGGTAAGACATCATACCACTGGTAGTTTACAGTTATTCCATAGACTAAACTTCATTTTTGAAACATTTATTTTTATCATTTTTCTAAAGTTTCTTCAAGGTTACATAGTTTACAAATATGTTGATGTGTACTAAACTTGTAAGATTATTATTAATTTTTCGAGAATGCAACGTGCATACTATTCAGAAATGACAAATCTTCTCGCTCGACCGCTACACTCCCTCGTAAGAGACTTTTGTTATCTGTACAAGTTAATTGTTTACGATCTGTACACGTGTTAGGTATGTATTAAATGTGCCCTCCTCCCAGTCATGACAACAACTCACTGATCTTGACTCTTAACCTTATCTCGCAGCTCATGCACATCATGCAGCTCAAAACAAGGTATGTTCCACGTCCTACAAATGTCTTCCACCAAGAAGGACCCTGTCAATGACGACGACGTCGAGGATAACTTCGACGAGGACGCTGACGTCGACAGGAAAACCAACTCGTCGACTTCGTTGAACAAAGAGAGCCCCTCCGACCAGCCGGCTGAGCAGAACGGTGATGTGCACGTGAAGGTCGATGTCGAGAACACCGCAGAATCTTCTAAGAACGAAACCGATGACGTAGATGCCAAGACACCCGTAGCTGATGTCGTTGACAAGAGCAACGAACCGGAAAACGAAGCCGAGAAGAGGAATGAGACTGTAGTTACAGTCACCATAGAGGGCGGTAATGGAAACAAAAACGAGCCTTGATATTTTGTGGACCATATTTTGTTCAGTGCTTCGCATCTTGAGTTTGTTTCTAATGGAAAACGCGATATCCAAATGTAAATCGGTCAAGGTTTCAGTACAGGGATAGCGTTGATGGTCTGCAGAGGATTATTTTTTCTCTCGCAAAGTTATAACAGTTTGATTGATATTATTTTTTGCATGTTTTGAGATGACATTAGTCCAAATTGTAAGAATAGAACCTTCGTGTGAAACTGGCTACTTAGTTAATTACATGGAAATAACATTGAGTGTTCGTCATGCAGGGTATTTGAGTGTGTTCGTGAGCGTGGGGGGGGGGGGGGGGGGGTGCATTTCTGCTAATGAAGCTGGGGCTGTCTGACTAAAGCACTCTTATAACGCTTTCTCTACCAAGTATGTCAGTTTATTTCCTGCTGCAAAACATATATTACATACTACTTAATGACATGCTACAAGGAAGGAAGGATATGTTGTCACTTAGCCAAAATGAAACCTGAACTATTTGAGAAACACCTTTTTATTACAAACCCATCCTCTTTATGAAGATATATTCGTTTAAATTCCTCTTTCCGAGTCTGTCCTCGAAACTCTTCACTTCTTCAATAATATAATATCAAATTACTCTACATATATAGCAGGCACACTATTTCTGTCGATATATGTTTCTTTAATTTTGTTTTCACTTAGTACTTCAGAATAAATGTTTTCTTAGACCTTGAGGAATACTTGACTGAAAATACAAATACCTGGTGGAATACCGCCCTCTTCAGACTAGATGCGCTGATATTTTATTGTTTTTATATCATTGTAGGATAAATTATGTAAGGTAATCTCCCAACACGAGGAGTAGACAGTGATGCTAGTTTATTTTAAATCTATTATAATGTAATTTTTAACTCTTCACCTAGGTTTTCAGTGGGTTCCCGGCTGCGAACATTCATGTGGTTGGAGAAGTATATGTGTGCGCTTGTAAAATGGCGCTGGAATACTCCCCAGGGGGCGGAGCGCGTTCCAATATCCGATGTGATGATTATAACAAATGTAAAGCGCTTAGAAACGTCTGATTAAGCACTTTGAAAATGTTATCACTAATATTTTTATTATAATTGCTCTATTATATTGTATTATACACGATTTTACTTTTTATTTATGTTTTCACATTAAAATGATAATGGTTTTAAAGAGTTGTTGCTACGCATCAAAGGCAGGCATATCATCGGTGGGGTGACAAAACCCGTAATTCAAATTCGGATTATTTTTCACAAATAGCACGATCACATGGACTTGAAAAAAATGAACCCTATGTAATCTCAAAAACATTGTGCGTCACCAATTGAGCAACTCTGTTTCAAAATACACCCCCTCACGAAGTCTTCGCTCCTCATCAGACACGCTATTACTTAATACACCCAGGATAAATATTGTTTGGGGCGATCGGGCTTTCTCTGCAATGGGTCCAAAACTCTGGAATAAGCTCCCTCTACAAATACGCCAACTGTCGTCAACAGAAACATTCAAATTACAACTGAAAACTTATTTGTTTATTTCGTTGTAAATATTGTAATATTTTAATTTACCATGTCTAGGAGAATTTCGAATTTTGTTTTTCGGTTTATTGTGTTTTTTCTTTCTTATGTATGTTACATGTCCTTTTCTCTAAGCGCCATGAGCATCGAAAGGTGGACCTGTGAGCTATACAAGTAGCTACTATTATTATTATTATTACATCTTACATAAATCCGAAAATGAGTTCTATAGGCAATACATTTATAGGGATTCGGAATTGCCCTTGATTTTTTGAAAATCTTTGCGATTGTGTTTAACTTGTATCTCAGGAGTAATCTAATACTCGGGTATACCCATGTTACGACTATCTGCAAAACAGTGCCACAACCGATCGGAATAAGAAAGAACATAAAAGCTTTAATATTGTTACAACACTGAGGTGATTTTAAACTGAACCATCAAAAGTGAAATCTTTGAGTTACTTTTGTTTCACCCCATCTACGATGATAATGTGTTCAGCACATGCCTTCCGATTAGGTGGGCATGTTCTTTTTTTATGTGAAGAGGCGGAGTGGTTTTACACATTTATTTCCCCTATTACCATGGTAACGGTCACATTTGATGTAAACAACGTTTGATGTCACATTCTTGTAGACGTACGTCATGAGAGAAAACAAAAATTGCCGCCTTGTTGTTCAACAGTTTGATGTCTGTTATCGAAACTCCCACATGAATGTTATCGAATGAAATTTAAGTAACTTTGGCTTATTTGCCAGATGAAAGTCCAGCAAAAACAATCTATGTATTCCTCCCCCTTTCTTTCTTCCTTTTTTGGTGGTTGTCTTTCATTCTTTTTTCCATTTTTTTCCATTTTTTTCTTTCTTTCGTTGTTTGTTTGTTTATTTCATTCTTTCATTCATTCATTCATTCTTTCTTTCTTCATTTCCTTCGGCTTTCTTCCTTTTATTTGTAGAAGTTTTTACGTGTTTATCATTTCGTCCTTGTTTCCACGAAGTGACGGTAGTGAGGAAAATCGTCACGCAAAGTGAATGCAATTTTTTTTTTCACTACCGTCACTTCGTGAAAACAGCGACGATTTGGTACATTATTTGTGTCATTTCAAATGTTCTGGAGCCCAGACCCCTTCCCCAGCTCGGGAGTACTACTACCCCCCTTGCTCTCGGCGTTAAAGTTAACACCCCACTTCACCGGACACGCCACTTAATAAATTGACGCAGTAAAACAAAAAGTTGAAGGATGAAAGGGCGATGTATTCCTGGCCGTATTTACTCAGTGGAGATGGTGAAATGTAGCAATGTTGTTTTTATATGAAGAGTAAACATTTCCTGTGTGTGTATTTAAGGTATGCCAAACTGAATTATTTTTCGGGGGGGGGGGGTCAGTCACGAATTACAGTTATGAATTCTAGATCACTGTGAGGATTGGTTTGTAAATGAGAGGTGTGGTGTCGATGATTGTAAATATTTTATACTTATCCACTTTGATTTTGTATTTGTGAAAAGTTGGTAATAAGCTTACAATGTGGTATTTTGTTTTTTAAAGGAACACCTTTGACATTGGATATAAATGAACCTTTGACTTAGGAATGTAAAAAAAAATCATGATAAGTATCTGCTGATTTCAGAAATGTTACGATGTAATTAGAAAAAGGTTTTCGAGTAAATCGAACGGCTGTATTTTACTAGAAGAACATGCACAATGTGTAGAGCGTCAACAAACAAAATGCATGTGCAATAAACATATGGCACGTTTAATACTGTTGATCACATTGTGGCAATGTTTAGCCAATGTGAGAAGGAGAAACAAGACTGTATTATAGGAATCTCGTCATTTACTTTTATTAGATTTTCGCAAGATTTGGTATCATTTCATTTGTCGTGTTTCTAGAAATACATTTAGCTGCTTTCACGAAAACTTGACGCCGAATTTTACTGTATATAGCCCGGTACTTACTCTCTTAATTTCTAGGACTTAAATTTTAAATCCATTTTGAGACTTAAAATATTTCAAGTCTTTAAGACTTAATAAATTGGGAATTCGACTAAAAGTTTTATCGAAACCAGCTTCTAGATATAAATCTTGGAAAGACTTAAACTTCTCGCCAATAAGATGTGCATATTTCCAGTTGCACCTGTTGATGACTGACTGTTGGCATATTTCCAGTTGAACCAGCTGACACCAATTAATTTGCATATTGAATATGGGGTGCGTGCAGATCTATGTTTTTTTAACAATTTTTCTGAATTTACAGCATATTTCTTAATTACTGATGATTTAGGTATATGCAATTCATTTCGAAAATACTACAAATATAAATTACAAGTTATTAGGACATTTCGCTACTTCGTATGAATTCCATTTAATTAAACATGAATAAGGGAAACATTAACTATGAACTAAAATAATTTCAATAAAATACAAGTATATGAAAAAAAATTCGATTAATTAAATTATGTATAAGTCTACTTATTACCGATGCCTTTACATTGATAATACAGACGTACCAGTATTGAAGTGTTGTTGCCGTTCAATTGGTTGGAAGTTTTACCAAATGGTTCTAATGGCTTAGCTAGACCAGTAAATCTAAAAGACTTGAAATATAAATACAATTGACTTAAACTTTAAATCTTTCAGGGACTTAAAATTTTAAGTCTTAGCTTAGATTTATTTTTGAAATGAATCCAAGAAAGGTTTAAAATAAATATTAAAAGACTTGAAATATAAATCCAATTGACTTAAATTTTAAACCTTTTCAGAGGGACTTAAAATTTCAAGTCTTAGCTTAGACTTATTTTAAATCCCAAAGGGTTCGTCACTAATATCAGTCTCTGTTAGATTTAAAAGTAAGACTTTAAGATTTAAAAATAAGACTTTCAAATTTAGAGAGTATTGTTACTCAATGTCTCAGGATATTTTGTATTATTTTATTTGTCGTGCTCGTAGAAAAAAATTAAGTTGTCAACATTCAACAAAAAAAAAAAATTGTGTATACGTGTGCTTTATAATGTGTATATAATCAAGGCAGTTTCTTTAATTATTTTCCTTTTCACAACATTATTAATATTTCTCTTTGCTTGGTCTGAAAATGAGACTATCATATGAATTTGGACTATACCCAGTTTGAGGTTGTAATAAAAGCCACATTTTGTTATTTTCATACCATGAATGTGTACATTATTGAGGTTGGATTATTTAAACATGTCACTTTAACAAGCATGTCTCAGTTTCTGCGGGAAACTCACCTGTATAGATTACACCTGTCAACCAGTGGCGTAGTACGCGTTGGGTGAGGGGGGGGGGGGGGGCATGTACCCTCCATCGAATGCCGCTAAAACAAAAGTGAGACTAAAAAGAGGAACATGAAAAGGAAATAATATTTTGACCCTTCGATACCCTATCCTCACGTGATCGTCCTGTTCCCTTACATTCTTCAACTAGGAAGACCGATGCTCCCTATTACACTCGTGCCCCCACCC